TACCTTGCTCTTTACCTCAGGTCAGTAATTATCAAGGTTGAGTCAGAGAGGAATTAAGACTAACATGGCCAAAGTCACCTGTAAACACTGGCCCTTGCACTCAGTCACATCTCTAGTGACTAGAAGGACCAATTAAAATAGTAAAGCATTAACAAGAAAACCTTTTGATCCTATTCTTAAGCTACGTCTACACTGGCAATTGAATGACAAAAGGCTTCTCTTTCACCAGTGTTAAAAAAACAAAAAACAAAACCAAAAAAACCCTGAAAGATAAAAAAAGTTTTGACGACAACAGGCGCTAGCATGAACAGCGCTCTCCAGCCGACAATGCAAATGCCGCTCATTGGGGTGGACATTTTTTGTCAGCAGGAGAGCTGACAGTGGATACATTGCGCGACTTTTAATGGCATGGCTGTAGCGACACAGACATGTTGCTAAAAGCTGTGTAGTGTAGACATAGCCTTTAGTTACGCCATCTCTGCAAGAGGCAGGAGCTATGTCAGTGGGAGAAGCTCTCCTGCCAACAGAGTGATATCTACACTGGCGCTTAGGTTGGTATAACTGCAGTGGTTTTCAAAAAAAAAAAAAAGTTTCTGGCGACCCAGTTGAAGAAAATTGTTGATGCCCGTGACACAACGGAGCTGGGGATGAGGGGGTTTGGGAGAGACTCAGGGCTGGGGAAGAGGATTGGGATGCAGGGATGAGGGCTGTGGGGTGGGAATGAGGGGTTCAGGGCATGGGAGGGGGCTCTGAGCTGGGGTAGGGATGCAGGAGGGGATCAGGATTCTGGGCTAGGGGTGCAAGTTCTGGTCTGGGGCCAGGGATGAGGGATTTGGGGTGTAGGAGGGGGCTCTGAGTTTTGGGGGGGGCTCCTGCCTGTCCTGGCACCGCAGACTGCTCTGCGCCCCAGAAGCGGCCAGCAGCAGGGCCGGCTTCTAGGCAGAGGCACACAAGCGGCTCTGCACAACTCTCGCCCGCAGGCACTGTCCCCCGCAGATCCCATTGGCCGGGAACTGGAGCCAGTGCTTGGGGCAGGGGCAGCATGCAGAGCCCTGTGCTCGCCCCCCCCCCACCCTAGGAGCTGGACCTGCTGCTTCCAGGGCACAGCGCGGTGTCAGAAAAGGTAAGGACTAGCCTGCCTTTGCCGGGCAGCACTGCCGATGGGACTTTTAGCGGCCCGGTCAGTGGTACTGACCAGAGCCACCGTGACACAGTGCCTTACATTCTGTGACCCAGTACTGGGTCGCAACCCGCAGTTTGAAAAATCACTGAACTACAACACTCAGAGTTGTGGATTATTTACACCCCTGCGTGATGTTGTTAAACTGAAGTAATTCTGTAGTGTAGACAAAGGCATAGGGGACTATACTCCAGTGAAAAGGAATTATTTCACAAGTGTGGCGGCTGATATTGAATCAATACTGAATTCTCAGACCGTGGGTTATGGAGAATAAAGCACAAAGCCATTGCCAGAGGGATAAAATAATTATTTTTGTACTCTTGATCTGTATCCAGTTGATGAGAAAATCCCCCTTTACTTAGAAAAGGCTTTCAATAAGACTATCAGATTACTTAACTGTCCAGTTCTGTTCCTGGTAAAATGTGTGTAGTACGTGTTGTAGTTGTAGCCATGTCAGTCCCAGGAGATTAGAGACAAGGTGGGTGAGGTAATAGTTTTATTGGACCAACTTCTGTTGAGAGACAGCTTTTGAGCTACACAGAGCTCTTCCATAGGTCCTGAAGGCAGGATGGCTAGAACTTTCAGGCAAATCAAGTTGTCTGTAGTGCAGTGTAAGTTAGTCAGGATATCACCTGCCAACAGGCAAATGCCAGACTCTCCCTGCAACTCTCCCAGCAAGTGAGCTGCCCATCTCCAAACTGCTGAACCTTTAACCGCTACCCACTCAGGTGTCCTGCCCTCTACTCTATCCCTTGACATAGTTACTCCAGCCCCTGTGAGGAGTGGTAGTGGGAGAGAGCTCTCCCATCAGCTTAGAGCCCCTGCACTAGCAGCACTGCAGCTGCATCGGTGCTGCGGTAAGCTCTGTAATGTAGCCACAGCCCCAGTCACCAATGCAAAACACTCCTGCAATTCTCCCTAGCACATTCATTAACATCCATCCAGGAGCAACAGAAGCTCCCTACAAGTGTGTGTGTGGAGGGGGAACCAATGCCCAAACCGTGGCCTCCGCCCCCACAGAAGTGCCCCTTACCCTGCTTGTTCCTCTCTGCCCCCTCCCCCATTGCTCACCCTTATGGCCAGTAATAGGATGAAGAAAAGGGTTGGGGCCATGGCCCCCCAACCCCCCATTTCCACCACCCCTTTCCCCACTGCTTGGTTTCTCCACCTCTCCCTTGAGAAGTGACCTGACCCTTCTCAAATGCCTAGCCCTCTCATGAGTCCAACCTCTCCCTGCCACAAACACCTGACTCCCATCCAGTTTACAGAGGGTGAGGCACCTGGAAGATGTCCTAAAGCTGATGTCCTAGCCCTAAACTTTAGGTGCCCAGAGCAACTGGTGCTAAGTAGAGTGTGAAATGGCTGAAGTAAGGTGTTATATTTGCCAGATTGTTGCATAAACTGGGAGGAGTCATTCTGCTTTGCTACAACATGTTTCACTTGCCAAAAATAATTCAGCCTTAACTTTCTATTAGCCACCCATCAATTACCTTCTGAATATTCATCTGATGGAATTGTAAAGCTGCTGGAGGACTTTAGGCATCACTCCCCACATTTCTAGGGCTAGTATCTGGGTGTGAGAACCTCTCTCATTGCTGTGTCCCTTCTTCTGCAACAGTGTCTTAACTCAGACAGTCTGAAGCCTTCAGTGATTACCACTCTTGTACTGCCTGCAACAATGCTATGTTCATTCAAAAGGGATTTTCTCTTTGATCATACTTACCTTGGTGCATTCATTTGTTGGTATATGCTAAAGTACAAAGATCATTGTTGGCCAAGTAATCACCTTCATAGCAGGTGATTGACTCACACTTAGTTGTTCATTTTAACTCCAATACTGTACTACGGGGCACAGGGTTCTGCCCACAATTTTTATCTCGCTTCACACAGGACAATGACACAGAGAGCATATAAAAAACTCTGTAATTTGAGAGGGACGCAGCCAATTTGTTCATATCGCACTGCCCGGTGTGGAAACAGAAGAGATATCACGTATGCTTCCATGGCAGTGATGCAGCAAAGGTTCTATGGGCTATATACCCAGGACATCACATCAAGGAGCACAGAATATTTTGGTACCTTTTAAGCTTTTGGGAGCCACAGGAATCAGTATGTAGGAATCAGTCTTTGTCAAAGGAATATTCCTTTGAAAGTGTCCAAGCCAGCTGTAAGATAGTCTACAAGAAAACTGAGTTTTCCCTTTTTGCTCAGCACAGCAGGTCTGCTGACCTGCTCACAGCCTCAGAAATTGCTTGCACTTGAAGGCTACTGAGTTTAGGGAAGGCAGATGGTCTCCCAGTCACTGTGCAGCAAGCATACTTTGCTCTCCAGCATCTGTCCCTCAACAGATTCAGCTGGAATCAGAGTTTCTGGGAACTCAGGACTCAGCTAAAGCCAGTCTGCAGCTGTCAAGATGACTAGCAATAATTTAAAACTTTCCTGATTAGCAGCCTGTGCAACCTTAATGAAGTCAGAGTTGTATATGGCAGAATTTGCCAACAAAACATATATAGGAGGACGGAACACTGTTCTCCAAGTACATGCCTATCTCAAAGTGTCTGTGTAGTGTAGATCTTATAACAATACAGGACTGAACAACAGTAAGACAAATGCCAGCCTGCCCTATAAAGTTTCAATTAAATATGCCTGTATCATGGTGTGTAGCTAGCTATCAACCCAGATAACAAGGGAATCTTTAAAAAAGAACAGGAGTACTTGTGGCACCGTAGAGACTAACAAATTTTACAAACAAATTCCCTTTACAAAGGGAATCTTTGTAAAGTACTGAGGATGTAAAATGCTGTATCAATGCTAGGGATTATTCAGTATTCCTAAAGAGAACAGATTACTTGGGCTAGGAGTTATCCACTGCTTTAGTTGCATTTCAATCACTGGTTGCCTGCTGTAAACTACTGAGTTGTGAATATTTGGAAGTTAGCAACAAAGAGTCCAAACTTTGCTATAATATTTTTAGTCCTTCCTGCTTTCAGGATGTGAAAGCCCCATTGTTAACTGGAGGTTTTAAAGTCTGCACAGTAAATTGAATGAGAGGACCACAGAAGAGGTCTGTAGATTGGCCACACTTTGCCTGAACTGCTAACAATCTTAAATTTAAAGAACCCTCCAGGATACCAGCAGAAAGGCATTGTAAGGCACGTGCCTAAGTCAGCAGTACTTCTGAAAGGAAAAAGAAGAACAGGAGTACTTGTGGCACCTTAGAGACTAACAAATTTATTAGAGCATAACTCTTTCCTAGCTTCCTGCCTACTTCCTCCAGCACCTCAAGCCTACTTAATCTGTGTGTCT